GCACGTTTGAATGACGTTATTTACATATCTTTATTAATATTATAATATTATTTTATAATTGAAAATCAATATAGTTAGTTGTTTCTTTCTTGATGTTATGCTTTTTTGTGCTTATCAGCATATTTCAGAAATTAATAAGTGAATGAGTTAATGATATTAAGGTAGTACACCCCTAATGCACTATCTCCACTTTGAAATAGGCTAGAATCACTGTAAAGTGTATTGAAACTGAGGGGCGTGGGTTCGAACCCCAGAAGGGGTAACTTTTTTTCTTTCTTTTTTTTTCTTTTTAACACATTTTATTAATCTCCCAGATCCCTAATGGAAGAAAAAAGTGTTTATTTTAATAATATAATTTTTGTAGGTATTTTTTTACTAAATAATGCCAAATTTAATAGCAAATATGATACCATATATTTTCAAAGGTTAATAAAATAAAAACTACACGGTAAAAGTATTTTATATTTTGCAAGACCAACCAATATACATTTAAGAAAATTTAGGCAAACTTTGAAAACATCCCCTCATTGTGCAAAATTTTAGGAATATTTTAAATAAGGCTTTTTACACATGGAAATGGTGAAATAAGAGTTAAAAGTGGGTGGGGTAGAATTACATTTTAATACATATCAAAACATTTCGTTTAAAAACAATTATTTTTCTTGTTTAATTTGTTACCTAAATGTCATTATTTGTTTCTTAACAATGAGCATAGGAAAACATTTTTCATAATGATGATATTAAAGATTATTTAGAGTTTCCTCATTTCTGAAAAACACCTTTTTAATGGCAAAGTTTAAGTTAAGAAAAATGTCCATAACTCATAAACCACACGGTAAATTTTGTTTAAATTTTGCATACAGGTGACATTTAAGGCGTATAACTGTCCTATGTTGTCAATTTTACAGTTCCTTATTGTGCCCATTAGGGGTGTACTACCTTAAACTCAATATATATATGAGTAATTTCCGGTTGAGAGTAGCGTTACAAAGAAATTGTTACTTGTATGTATACTACTTTAAGAGAAGTTAACAAAGCAAACTGATCGATACATTGATTAAAGCGTTCTTTATGGTCATATGCCACGTATAGTCCGCGTAGATAAAATCTTTATTCTCCTCTGATAGTATATAATTACTTCACATCGGATAAACATTTACCTGAACAAGAGTTATGACAGTATACCTAAAAGTATTGTTTTCTGAAACATTTTACATTTGCAGAGTAAAGGAACAGTAAATATGCCATATAACTTTATATCGTGTAAATGTCTAAATTCATCCTCTTATATTATATTGAAGAAATAAATAATTATGTAAGTAATTATCGTTAATAACTTTTGCATATAATGCAACAATTGCAATATGTGAATTTTATCATTTTTTGCGGAACAATAATTTAAAAGCCACGTTCTTACCCGTCAAATTTCACACTTACTGTTTTAATTGCGCCAGGTTAAATTTAATTTTGAGATATAATTGTTTTTCATGATTTTTTAAATAACAGTATGCTGAATGAAATTCTAAGTGATGAAAATGATTATGATTATTTGTTTAGAAGAAAGTCGGATTCTAAATAAGTTTGTTAACCCTTTCCCTCATGAGCATATTGTGAAAAATGGCCGTTTTCATTGAAACGCCCCCTGTTACAAGTTCAAACTACTGTGAAACTATGAAAAATGCTTCAATACTAATCAAACTTGGCACAAATGTTGACTGGACCATTGCTTTTGTAACGACTTGCTCAGTCTTAAATTTCCTGTTACCATGGCAACGAGGGGACATCTCAAAATTGCCAAAAATCACTATTTTGCCTTGATTTTTTTCCATCAAAATTTATTTCAAAGTGCTGCAACTTCTCAAGGGATTGAGATAGAGTAAAAGGCTTTTCAGCGTTGGTTACACGTTACCTCATGATCGACCTGGAGACCTGGACCCCAAACAGAAGGGGGCACATCCCCCTTCTTGCAACCCCCTGATGTATCTTTTGGATGGGGGCGGCGCCAAAATAGTGCTCACTTTTTAAGCAACATTTCTCAAACAAAACATGTGTTTTGAGCCCAAATAGGACATCTTTTCACTATATGAGGCCTAAAAGAGTGGGAGGGGTCGAAAGTGCGTTTTTTCGCTTATATATGAGGTAAAGGGTTAAGTAATGTTGTGATATTAACACTAGACATAACATATCAGAATAAATAGCCGTTATCATGAACTATGATAAAAGATGATGTCGCTAACATAGCGATTATGTAATGAATACTTGGTATTTAAATCCTGTTCTTTGAATATGCTCCTTTAAACTTTATTGTATGTTGATACTCCGTTTATTACTCCTTTGGTTTTCGCGCCAAAGTCTTATTATATTACATTGCTCCTTTTAACTTTCCCGCCATTGAATTCCCGCCACAAACATATTCACGTGCTTTTCATGATAGCTTTGTATAAATAGAGACCGCATGGTCACAGAAGTTTAGTGTGTGTTAAAAAGTATTGTAAGAAGGAAAGTGATTGAGATATGAAAAGGATTTTTATGTAAAATACATTTAATAGTAAAAAAGTGTTAGAGAGATAAAAACTTGTGGATTGTAAAAGTAAAAATAAAAAAGTGTTTAAAAAATAAATATTAAAAGTAGAAACCAAAAAGTGTTTCTCTTATTTTCATTGTGTTTACGACAATGAAAATGGTCCCGCGAACCGGATTCGAAAGTGGATGTAAAGTGTGAAGTGAAAATAAAAATTGAGAAGTGACAAAAGGTGTTTAGTGCATTTCAAAAGTGGATTATTTCTTTGCTCGATTAAGTGTTAAAAATGATAAAATTGTGTTTGTGCAACCTGAATATATTTAAAATACCAACTGTTGCTTCATTGAAAGGAGTGAGAACGAAGTACAGAAAATTGGTGATAACTGAGCTTCAAAAAGCAAACGACCTTCTGAAAAGTGAGGTGAGTGCAGTGTCAGAAATTGAGTTTTTAAAAGATGTTCAAAAGTGTAAAAGTCTATTGAAATCCTATTCTGAGAAATTGATGAGTCAAATGGATAAACTATCAGAACGTTTAACTAAAAGTGATTCGGAATATTTGCAACAGATTGTAGATGAGGATTGCAATTTGAATTTCGAGGTAGAAAATTGTATCATTGATTTAGACCAATTTTGTGAGTCAATTGTACCATTGAAACATGATGAGAAAGAAAAAGAGACATATCAAGAACAAATGCAAAAGATGATGATGACACAAATTGAACAGCAACATCAAATGATGGTGCAGATGCAAACGGACAGAAAAAATACAAGTGCAGTTAAATTACCAAAACTTGATTTGGACATGTTTTACGGAAACAAAATAAACTGGTGGGAATTTTGGGACTCTTTTGAATCCATTGTGCACAGAAACACCAAACTATCCAACATAGAAAAGTTTAATTATTTGCTAAGCAAACTAGGCGGAGAAGCGAAGAGAGCATTAGCTGGACTTGCGCGTACCAACGACAATTATTCTATTGCAGTGGGAATTCTCCGAGAGAGGTACGGCAACAAACAAGAGATTATTGATCTTCATTACAAAGAAATGCTTAATGTTCATTCACCAACTACAAAGGTTGAAAGCCTGCGATTTTTTTGGATAAAGTTAAAAAAACCTAACGCAGTCTTGAGATGCTAAAGGAAAATGTGAATCAACACGTTTTTGTTTCAATGATTCGCACAAAGCTGCCAGAGGATGTGCTCCGGCAGCTGGAAATAATAAAAGGAGCAAAGAATGAGTGGACTGTTGACAGTTTGCGTGATCACCTACGAGATTACATTACCGCTTGTGAAAAGTCTGACAAAGGAAAGAGTGATAGAGTGCATGGAGGTCAATTTAATTCAGTGAACAGGGAATAAAGAAAGACGGAGCAATGCCAACGAATACTTGGAATAAAGATTTTCATAATCAACATCATTTTCAGAAATTCCGTAGCAGTGCCGACACATTTGTGGCCAATGAAACTGTTCATAACAAGCCAGTGTGTAGATATTGTGCAGAGAATCATTGGAGTGACATGTGTACTCGATTCGCAACATTGGAAGAACGGAAAAACAGAATCAGAGGTAGTTGTTATCGTTGCCTAAAGGATGGTCATGGAATTCGTGAATGCAAATCAAATAAAAAGTGTGTGTACTGTAATCAATTCAATAGACATCATAGAAGTCTGTGTCCTAAGAAATATAAACAAACAACACAAGAAGAATCACAGATGAGTGCAACGGAGCAAATCAATAATATCTCACCGATGGAGCAAAATGAAGAAAATGCTATGTTGTCTCACGGAGAATCTGTGTTTATGCAGACGGCGCTAACTGATATTCAAAACCCAACATCTAACGAAAGTGTCAAGACAAGAATTCTTCTTGACTGTGGCTCTCAGAGAACATATATCACACAGTCACTAGCTGACAAATTAAGACTAAAGAAGCAGTATGTCGAAGAGTTACATGTGTTTACATTTGGCGGTAAAGATGCTAGAGTGATAAAGACACACGTGACTTCCATCAATTTAAAGTTAAGAAATGGACAAAAGCTATGTCTTAAAGCAAACATTGTACCAGTGATAAGTGGAAGCATACATAGAAAGTCACTGAATAAACAAGTCCTGAAAGAATTCAGAGATATTGCAGAAAATTTGGATCTAGCTGATACGTTTCCCGACAAAAATGAAACATCTCAAATAGAACTTTTGATCGGCAATGATCATTACCTAGACATTGTACTTCAACAAAAGATTGAAGTTCAGCCCGGATTGTATCTGATGTGTTCTAAACTCGGTTGGATTCTAACAGGAAGGTCATACTCAGAAATAAAAGAGAAAGAGGAACCAAACATGCTCATTCTCACACACGGAAGTGTTAACAATTCAACTATAAACAAAGGAATATTCTGTGGTATCGATTCTTGTAAAACTCGATTCAAGATCTAGAGGATTTTTGGAACATAGAGGCTATAGGCATTTGTGACAAAGACAAAATGAATGATGATGAGTTATCAATGAGAAAGTTTAAAAGCACACTCACCTTTCAGGATGGTAGATACAGTGTTACCTGGCCATGGAAAGAAGAAAATCCAGATTTACCCGAAAACAAAGGACTTGCAATTGGACGACTTAAGTCGTGTTTGAAAAGACTAGAAAACAAACCTGACCTGCTAGAAAAATACAACAATGTTATAAAAGACCAACTGTCAAAAGGAGTTATTGAGAAGGTTCAAGACTCGGGGAAAGGCAAGGAATATATGCATCACTATATTCCTCATCATGCGGTTATCACGCCAGAAGTCAAAAGTCAACAACAAAGCTAAGGATTGTTTATGATGCGTCGGCAAAAATATCACCAGAATCAAAGAGTTTGAATGAGTGTCTTTTTCGAGGTCCTGTTTTACTCAAGGACTTGTGTGGGCTACTTATGAGATTTCGTTTACATAGAGTGGCAATGGTTGCGGACATCGAAAAGGCGTTTCTTCAAGTTGGTCTGCAAGACTCAGAACGCGATGTAACCAGATTCTTTTGGATTAAAGACACAAAAAGACTATCACTGTTTCCAAACAACATCGAAATTTATCGTTTCTGTAGAGTACCGTTTTGGATTATTTCAAGGCCTTTTCTTCTGAGTGCAACGATTGAGGCTCATTTGAATGCTTATGACACTAAACTATCAGAACAGCTGAATCATGACATTTATGTTGACAATATTATAACCGGAGCATCCAGCGATGAACAAGCTGTAGACTTGTATAAAGAAGCAAAAAGCATGTTTAAAGACGCCTCGATGAATCTTCGGGAGTGGAGTTCAAGTAGTGAAAAAGTAAACAGTCTTATTCCAGAGGTTGACAGATCCACTGAAACTGAAACTAAGGTTCTAGGACATGTTTGGGACATAAAATCAGATATTCTGTCAGTAAAATCTGTATGTTCGAATATAAACCGTTCATTAGTGACAAAACGAATCGTACTGAAAGGAATAGCATCAATATTTGACCCCATGGCTCTTGTGTCACCAGTCATTCTTCATGGAAAAATGTTGCTTCAAGAAATGTTGGAAAGTGGTTTCGACTGGGATACAAAGATAACAGACGAACATGTGCTCGATAAGTGGTCATTTATCAGCGATCAACTTAGGTTGATATCTGACATCAAAATACGCCGGAGTATCGTTTCTCAAGACAAATATGTAAAATACAATTTACTTTGTTTTTGTGACGCTTCGTCAAAGGCTTATGCCACTGCAATCTATCTACAGCAAGAAAATGTAACTGATGTGAAATCAAACTTGATCTTTGCCAAAACACGTCTTGCTCCAGTCAAGAAAATGACTATTCCAAGACTAGAGCTAATGGCAGTGCTAATAGGTGTTAGGTGTTTGAAATTTGTGAAGACACAGTTAATGATAGAAATATCTCACGAATACCTTTGGACCGACTCTCAGGTAGCATTAGACTGGATTAATAGTAAAAAGCAACTTCCCGTATTTGTGAAAAATAGAGTTAAAGAAATCAAAAGCAATAATTGTGTGATTTTTGCTCATGTAGACACAAAAGATAATCCAGCTGACGTTGCAACTCGAGGTTCGTCGGTGAGTGATTTAAAGGATAATTCTTTTTGGTGGAACGGTCCCACTTGGTGTTGTGAAAGTCCACGAAACTGGAATACAAATCACGACAATATTATTGACATGGAATTAAAGCAAGAAAAAGATGAAAAAGAACTATGTGTTTCATTGCATGTCGAAGAAAATGAAAGCAAAACAAAACATGATATTGTACCACCTTGTGGAATTGACATTCAAAGATATTCAACGTTGACAAAATTGTTGCGTGTTACAGCTCTTGTGTTAAAGTTCATTAGGAAACTCAAAAATGTAAAAGATGATGCAAAATATCTAACTTGTGACGACTTACGACAAGCTGAAAATTTGTGGATAGTTTATGTTCAAAGGAACATTTATAATAAGGACTATAAGAATATTCAAAAGAAAAAGCCGTCCGGACTACAAAGACAACTTGGACTGGTTATCGACAACAATGGATTATTGCGTTGTACTGGGCGTTTAGGGAACTCTTGCTTATCAGAAGGAGCAAGACAACCTATTCTTCTACCTCACAAAGAAAAGTTTACTGAACTAGTGATTCAAAGGGCACATAAAGAGTGTATGCATTATGGAATATCACATACGCTATCCAGAACAAGACAAACATATTGGATAACTCGCGGTCGTTCAGCGGTCAAAGCAGCATTAAATAAGTGTAATGTGTGTCGCCGCTACGATGGAGGCCCATACAAAATGCCTGTTATGGCCCCACTTCCCAGTTCAAGAGTACAAAAGTCAAGTGCATTTTCACGAACTGGATTAGATTATCTTGGACCTTTGAACATTAAAACATCAAATGGTAATAGAAAAGTCTGGATATGTTTATTTTCGTGTATGACAACACGTGCTATTCATTTGGAAGTGATTCAGGATTTAAGTACAGAAGAATTCCTGATGTGCTTGCAACGATTCATTTCACAAAGAAACACTCCTATCGAGATTGTTTCTGATAACGCTGCTCAGTTTAAACTTGCAAGTAAAGTCATAAATCATATATGGAAAAACGTAGTGCAAAGTAATGAAGTAATGTCATACGTAGCTTCGAAGGGCATTCGTTGGAATTTCATTGTCGAGTTAGCTCCCTGGATGGGGGGATTCTATGAACGGTTAGTTGGGGTAGTTAAAAGTGCACTAAGAAAATCATTAGGACGAAAACTTCTTACAATGATTCAACTTCAAACACTTATCAAGGAAGTGGAAACCGTTGTCAATTCGAGACCCTTAGTTTACGAAGAAAATGATTTATCTTCTAACATCACTTTGACACCTGGGCATTTTTTAACATTAAATCCAAACACCGGTGTACCAGACTTAGAAGACGACGATGGTGATGAAAACTATTTACCTGTCGAAAGTTCAACTGAAAAACTGTTAAAGATTTGGAAAAAAGGACAAAGATTACTGAATGAGTTCTGGAAAATTTGGCGTGATCAGTACCTTGTGAGTTTAAGAGAGCGCCTTCAGACTCAATTAAAATCAGGACGGATTACTGCCAAAACAATACCGAGTGTGGGTGATGTTGTGCAAATAAAGGAAAACTTACCTAGAGGAAGTTGGAAAATTGGTCGCATTGTTGAGTTAGTGACTAGTAATGATGGAGAAATTCGATCTGCTAAAGTACAGCTACCTTCGAAGAGACTGATAGGCAGACCTTTGAACTTACTTTATCTTCTTGAATGTGATAAAAATCTCACATTTATTGATGACAAAGGGGATACGAACAGTGAGAAAAGTGAAAAGAAACCAGATAAAGTATCAAACAGAAAGGCAGCGGAAATTGCAAAACAAAAAATTAAAAACTATTTTAAGTAAAAATTATAAAAAAAAAATCAATGATGTAAATAACGATGATATTTCATAAAATAAATATGTGTTTAGTTTCTAAAACATTAAACAATACATTCTGTATCGAATAGAGACACGAAGACAGTCTTTAATTGTTTGACATTATAGCAATGTGTGTTGAAACACTCAGGAAGAGATTGTGAAGAGACTATTTTGTATATAAGCACTTTTTTATATATTGTTTTTACTTCATGTATTTGGAAATAGATCATATGTCATGTATTGCATTAATTTGACACTTCTAAGTTAATCAATGTGCATTGTTAATAGATGTTTCTAAATCTTAATAATTAGCTCTAGTTAATCATTTTTCTTAAAAACATACATATTGTGTTTTCTACTATAAATATTGTATGCTCATTTTCTATGGCGGGAGTGTCGCTAACATAGCGATTATGTAATGAATACTTGGTATTTAAATGCTGTTCTTTGAATATGCTCCTTTAAACTTTATTGTATGTTGATACTCCGTTTATTGCTCCTTTGGTTTTCGCGCCAAAGTCTTATTATATTACATTGCTCCTTTTAACTTTCCCGCCATTGAATTCCCGCCACAAACATATTCACGTGCTTTTCATGATAGCTTTGTATAAATAGAGACCGCATGGTCACAGAAGTTTAGTGTGTGTTAAAAAGTATTGTAAGAAGGAAAGTGATTGAGATATGAAAAGGATTTTTATGTAAAATACATTTAATAGTAAAAAAGTGTTAGAGAGATAAAAACTTGTGGATTGTAAAAGTAAAAATAAAAAAGTGTTTAAAAAATAAATATTAAAAGTAGAAACGAAAAAGTGTTTCTCTTATTTTCATTGTGTTTACGACAGATGACTCTTTTTCTTAAAAATGTTCAGTTACCTTTTAATAGGCTGGACAGAATTTTATCAAATAATTGTTTCCATACGGTATGTTGATTAACTTTTAATTTCTTTGTCAATGTCATGTTACTTCCAAGCCAATTATTTTAAATTACATTGTAAATCGCATAAAGTCATGTTAAATGTAGTTTCCTTACTCCTGTTCAGCAAAGTTAGTTATTAGTTTTCAATTTAAAATATTATTATGTTTAGGAGTGTGCTTTATCAAGTCCATAAACAAACCAAATAAGGATTTAAGAGGATCAGAAGCTATGCTGTAACCGTTGTATAAATATCACAAAGATTTTGTTTAAACCTAAATTTTACGCAAGTATTTCTTTCATTCTGAAACAGTATGAATATTTAAAATAAACTTTCAAAAGAGACCATTGCTGAAATACATTTTATCATTTTGATAAACTTAAAGTTTTCACAGCAATTTCTTTAATCAATGGAATTTTCGAGAAACATGATTAAACCTCATTATTGTATATAGTTCTTTTTAATATTGTACAGTTTTTTATAAATTTAACGAAAATGTATTTTTTTTAGAAATTATCTGGAAGTCAAATATCATAGAATGCATTTTATGAAAAAAAATGTTCTCTTAGAACTAGCAAGAATTCAATAATGTCTGAGCTGTTTTATCATTGAAACTTGCTTAAAAATCAGCTAATATCATATTACGGCCAGCTTTTTTTACCATATATATAAAAAAGACCTTTCTAAAATTTCAAAAAAAAGTTCCCCGAACAAAATTACAAATTATCAATATTTGCATATGTTTGCAATAATTCATTGTAATTATTAATAACTTGTTAGAAAATATAGAAAGAAGTTTGAGAAAAATCTATGAAAAAGATTTACTCTATGAACGATGCCATGTTACTTCCTAGCCAATTATTTTAAATTACATTGTAAATCGCATAAAGTCATGTTAAATGTAGTTTCCTTACTCCTATTCAGCAAAGTTAGTTATTAGTTTTCAATTTAAAATATTATTATGTTTAGGAGTGTGCTTTATCAAGTCCATAAACAAACCAAATAAGGATTTAAGAGGATCAGAAGCTATGCTGTAACCGTTGTATAAATATCACAAAGATTTTGTTTAAACCTAAATTTTACGCAGGTATTTCTTTCATTCTGAAACAGTATGAATATTTAAAATAAACTTTCAAAAGAGACCATTGCTGAAATACATTTTATCATTTTGATAAACTTAAAGTTTTCACAGCAATTTCTTAAATCAATGGAATTTTCGAGAAACATGATTAAACCTCATTATTGTATATATGTCTTTTTAATATTGTACAGTATTTTATAAATTTAACGAAAATGTATTTTTTTTAGAAATTATCTGGAAGTCAAATATCATAGAATGCATTTTATGAAAAAAAATGTTCTCTTAGAACTAGCATGAATTCAATAATGTCTGAGCTGTTTTATCATTGAAACTTGCTTAAAAATCAGCTAATATCATATTACGGCCAGCTTTTTTTACCATATATATAAAAAAGACCTTTCTTAAATTTCAAGAAAAAGTTCCCCGAACAAAATTACAAATTATCAATATTTGCATATGTTTGCAATAATTCATTGTAATTATTAATAACTTGTTAGAAAATATAGAAAGAAGTTTGAGAAAAATCTATGAAAAAGATTTACTCTATGAACGATGCAGATTTATTTTTCAGATAATAAGAAGAATTCTCTTAATTTGTACTCGTGATTGGACTATATGTCTATGTTATCTTTTCATTTGTCTGCAACAAAAACGATATTGTATCAATCTTACTTATTACAACACATCGCTTTCTTCTTTCTAATATAAGCATTTTTTATTGAAATAAACACGTTCAATATATAAGAAAATGCTCTTTAATTATAGTATTTTTGTCATTGCTGGTATATGATGATAATAATATTATAGTCATTGTTATTCAATAAGGACTTAAATTTCACAAGTTCGCTTAATATACATGTAAATGGATATGAAATAAAATGCCATGAAAAATAATACATTTATGTATAATATTAGATATGAATGTCAATTTCAAATAAACATCTAAACCTGATAAATGAAACAATCGCTACATACTCAATTTAGCTGACCTATATCTATTATTTCATCTCTTTTTATATGAATTAAGTGAATCATAAAAGGTCACACTGTGTTATAGATAAAATATTGCTTTATAACAGTTATGATAAAATCATTTTTATAACATCAAAGAAAATGAATATTCAGCTCATCTCGAATCGAACTAATTAATCTAATCCTCTTACAATACCAAATGGAATGAATGAAAAACCCGACTCTGTTGGATTGTACCGTGTATTTCTTGAGTTCTAGTGTAAATGATGACTTTTATAATTAGAAAATAATTTACTTCTATCTAAATTAAATCTAAAATGTACTTAAAAACATTATTCTCTGTACCGTTCATTTGTTTGTTTGTTTGTTTCATTTTACGCCTTTTCCCCAACAGTATTTCAGTCATATAGGCGGGTAGTTTCCTAACCATCGTTCCTGGAGAGTTGCACCAGTACTAGAACTAGACTACCTCCTCCGTGCTAAACTACCAAAGCATCTCCCGGGGATCGAACCTTCGCCAGAGAGGTAACTGGATTAGAAGTCATCGACTCTAACCCCTCGACCATGGAGGCGGTCTGTACCGTCCATGACGCTGCTTTCATGAAAAAACATGAACACATGCCTAACAATATTTATGGATATGAATTCTTGAAGAAAATCAAAATAGAAACACCGTGTGGCATACATTTGATGCAACCTTGACAAACAATGTGGCGATAGCATGTGGCTTTTAGAATAAAAAAAACACGCGCAATTTATTCCTGATTTAGGTAATAATTTTTATTGATATTTATATAAAGGTCGTTCCTGTTACCCAATCTTTTGACAAGTTAGTGAACAGAGTACCCGTTATTGTAAGTGCTATCCGCAGTATATATTACTAATGAAAACACTTGAATGGTAATCTTTACATTTTTTTATTAAAAACAAGTGTTCATGGTTTTCAGTGTTAAAATTAAATGCCTTAATACACTTTCAGTTCTGTTTCCTACTTTTGTGTCTGTGAGGCAAATCATTGATAGCTTTTTAATTTTTGAAATACTGAATTTTTTAAATTATATATTTCAAAGTAAGTTAACTTACATTTAAAGTGAAACATTTGTTATCTTATATCGATGATCTAAGACGACAAAACTGATTTACTTAAAATATCTATCGAAACAAAACATCTTTTGCGCCATAAATAGTTACATAAAATTGATTTCATTTTCAATTGAATTTTATAATGATTTATAGACATAGTTTTTCCATCATACCAGCAATATAATATTAATTGCTTATATTGACCAGAAAATGGCAAGATCCCATATATTGTGACACATTTGCATATCAATGGTAGAAAAGATAGAAATGCGAGACATTTCGTATTCATCACTATGTCATTATATGGGAGGACAGTGGTACAAAACAGCTTGCGTGAGAAAGAGTGAGAAGAAAATGAAACCATTTAAAATTAGCCAACTTTTCAAATCATTCATTATATATAAATATTAAAATGCCATAGCTTTTTTCCAGGTAGGAATCTTTCGGATGCGTTAACATATTTCATGAATTGCATAATGTCATTTGATTAAATTATCTAAAGACTCGGATGATACACTGAATATGTTCCTACCTTAATTTCATCTTAGTTCAGTAATGGGTTAATTCTTTAATGTGATTTGCCTATATGACTGAAATACTGTTGGGAAAAGGCGTAAAATGAAACAAACAAACAAACAAACAAACTTTAATGTGATTTAACAGAAATTATCCCGTTAGTGCACTAAGATATCGACATACTAACAAAAGGGCTGAAACACTAAACGATCACTACATATGTTTATCTTCCTGTAATGTATTTTCGTGCATAAATCGTTTTATTTTGTAATTAATTCGAAATATTTATCTATGCATTCTTCAAATTTCTTTTCAATTTCACAGCAACAA